ACCAAGTTATAACATAGAAAGATCTTGGCATAAAACTCACATTTCCACAATTTATAATAAGAGCACTAACTAGAGTTTACTAGATTAGAGAAGAAGATGAATCAGAAGACTGATCACTAAATCGTTATTATTTGATTATTACTTTGCAAAATTAGTACTGATCAATACATTATTTTAATTGTACTCAGAAATACAAGACTTTGAATGTATCCAGTTTAAATCTTGACTTAGCACACTAAATATTCTTGGTACGAAACATTTATGTGGGTGGTAATTGTTGTTTGACAGACATTTCATTCATCCACTTAATTTTAAATTATTTGACATTAGTTTGGGGATGGCTGAGGCAGTTGGAACACAATACTGTTAGGTCATGAATCAAATCCCATCCCACAACTGCTGCCTACCTCTTAGGTTCTTTATAGGCTATTATAACACTGATTTTTGTTTATTAGTATTGTTATAACATTATTGCAGATATTTGGTTTACATCATCTCTGCATAAAAAATTGTATAATTTTAATTATTAAGAATAAGAATAGCTTAACTGAGTATAGGTCAAAGCAAAACATCTTCACATAAATTGTAGCAGACTATGTTATTAGGTAAATATGATTTTGCTTAAATTTTGCAAGTTAAATAGGTTTAATGGAAATTTTTTGCTTAAGCTTTTGCTTCTAACTTCACCTTTACGCTTTAACCAGCATGTACTTGGCTTAAGGGTCTAAACATTTTCACATTACCACACTAATTAGTTATTGGAAAAACGGATTGCCTGCTTAATTTAGTGTATATATATGTATGAATTTAAAAGAAAGTTCTAAGTATATTATGAACTGACTTTATGTTTCCTAAGTTAAGTTTTTAGGAATAAGAAGAATAGTGACCTTCAATTAGTGTTAGTCTGTAATTTTAAATCTAATTTGGATTTAATTTCATTCAGAATTTCAACAAATAGTTTAGTTTTTCTTTTACACTGTTTTGTAGTTGACTATTGGAAAGTTAATAATGAAAATGTTTGGATTAGGAAGAAGGAAACCACAACTGAATTAAAAAACTTTTTTCTTCTTATAAATTCTTCAGAATATCTCATGAATAGTTTTTAATAACAATTTTAAAAAGCTAATAATGGTTTCAGATAAAAACTCCTGAATCATCTCTTAAAATATTCACTGTTGGAAACACAGACAGTACTGTAACATTGTCTTTTAATGTGAACTGTTTTTCCATTACTTATTACTTATATTTCTGTTTTATGTACATTAAGCATTATTCGACTCTATAACAAGAACAGTAACAAAATGAAATCTACAAATATACTTATCTCGTGCTTGAATGGATAATAATTTTATAGACACACATCATGAAATATTAATAATAATAATGATTTAGGAATTCCATAGTTTACAAGTGGAGCCACAGTAAAGCCTTCTGTTATTAACAATAAGATGTACACAAACTGAAATATTAAATATTAAAACTAGAATAAGGTTTAGAAGGAGCAGAGGCAGTTATTGGAAAACGAAGTTCTAGTTTACAGTTTATATCAAGGATGGAAAATAAATTCCTAAATACAATGAAAAAAAACTGCAGCAGCATTACTAAATTTTATTATGTCTCAAAAATATGTTTGAGAAGGGTATTTCTGTTAGAACTACCATTTTAGTGAGATTTAATTATTATTAATAATAATAAAAGGCTTAGCGAATCCGAAGGTTCGATGCCAACACCACCAACCACTTATTACACACCTCCCTCCACCGTTCGCCGTCCAAACCTAGTCTCTTCAGATCGGCTTTAATGCAATCTGCCCACCTTCGCTTCACCCTACCCCTCGGACGTTTACCATTCGGTACAGCAAATATTAACCTTTTAGGAATTAGTGAGATTCAATTGCTATAAAAAATTGAAATAAATCGGTTTGATGTTAATTATCGTACTACTTATATAGTTTTAAACTTATCTTTAAGAACTACTAGCTGATCCATGGGAAGGAGAAAACGAGAAATTTTCTCTTCCAAAATAACTATTACAAAAAAAACAAAACTCCGTTGTTAAAAATATACATAAGTGCCATTGTTCGAAAATAATTGTGAATAAATTAATATTCATTAGGTAAGGAAAAATTTAAAAATTGACTAACCCTGTGAGAAATCAATTGTCCTAGATGCCACTTTGAATCTATTTTAAACAGATCAAGACATAGATAATTGATTAATATAATTTTCCATAGAAAAAGTACTATTTCTCTCTAATTCTCTGCTTATCCTGATACTTTCCATCCCAAAAATTATCATAGACCTCTTGTTCAGGGACACATTAGCCTATAATATCTATGTCTATAATATTATATTATAAAATTATTTATAATGCACAAAAGCACCAAGAGCATGCCATAGACAGTAATGATTTGGCATACATTGAATTATAGATGATTTTAAACCTTATTTAAATATCGCGAAACATGATTTTTGATTTCCTGTTCTACCTTCCTTATCCATTCCCTATCATTTCATATATTTTTTATTTTTTTTTTTCGCCATTGATCCTTATTACCTATATGGTATAAGATAGATCATTATTGATGGGAAAAAACAAAACAAAGAAACTCTGGACACTGCTTTTAAACTGACAGAATGTAACAACATAATATGGTGCTAACCTCAAAAATTCTATGTTGTAACATTCATCTAGACAAACCTTGATATAATTTGTAAAATCATCATTGAATAGATTATATTGGAAAGGTGGACATGGATTAAAACATGAAAATTATTCTTGTTGGAATAGTACATACTGAGAGAAATACAACAACATTGCACGGCTGCACAACTGTGTTGAGTTGCTAAATAACACAGCATACTCATCAATCAATAGATAATACTGTGTAAAAATATAAGAGAGATTCAGGTTGGACCATTGGAATACATATCAGACATGCCAAGAATGGTTTATAGAATCAAATAAGTGAAGGCCTAGAAGATGTATACTCTGACGATTACATTTATTTTAATACTAGAAATGAATCGATCTCCTAATTTAATATAAATTTACAAATTTGCATTGATGAAATACTTTGCTACTTCAGCAGAAGAAATATGATTAGAGATATTCAAATTGACTCTTGAACTAAACTCTTAGATTATCAGGAAACCTCGTCAAAAGTTCGACTCTTACTTTGTGTTCAGAGAAGAATTCTCTTTTGAAATGTTTTAGCCCAAAAGAGAATCCCACATGATTCAACAATAAAATTAACAATTTATATCTACTTGATTATATTATTCAAACAAGAATTAGCTGAAGCAAATGATTTATTTAAAGATCTAATTTTAGCCAATATTAATCGAGTAAATGTAATTTGTAGCATAAATTCAAATAAAAAGACTTACAATGTTTTAACTACATTGAATAGCAAAAGGGTGGAAATAATACTGGACTTACAAATTCTCTGATACAATAATAATGTTTATAAAGGCAATTTATTCATTAAATGTGTTTTTTTTTTTTTTTATTATCAACTTGAAATATAGTTGCATAGATTTTTTTTTTTTACTGTCTTCACCCTTTAGGGTCTTATTTTATATTGAAAAATATTAATGATATGTTTAAATATTTAATCTACATTATCAAGGCCTGGATTTATATGCTAATGGATGCGTTTTGCATAATTTTTTCAAAAACTTGAGTCAATATCTTTATGAAATCAGTCATTCTAAATTGTTCGGCTACAATTTTATATTTGCACTCAAAAGGCATATAATATGCATATTTTGGTTAATTGAATTTATTTTAGGTGTAGAAAAAAGTTGATCAATTAACTAAATTATGTGTTAATTTAATTAATGTTTGACAAAATGTGAATTATTTTTCTATTTTTTTCCAACTATACTATAAATGATTAAAAACATATTTCACTCTTAATATATTTGCCAATTGCTTTAATTAGTTGTCAATTGCCTAATAATAAATTTACGCTTTGCAGTTGTGAGGATCATTTTATTTTGGATAGAAATTTAATACAGAAGAGTATTTCTTAGAAAAAATTCAAGGATGAGGAACAGAACTAAAAATATTTTCTATTACCTACTATTAATTTATGTTTATTAACTATTACTAACTATAGTTTAACTCATCTACAAATAGTATTAGAATCATGCCAATATTTCAATTCTTTATTTCTTTTGCTTTAAAACTAAATGATTGGGTGTCCCATCAGTGGGGTTAATAAACCATTCAGCACCCGCGGCTGACTAATGTTTGAAGCCCCCTAAAAATGTAAATACATAAAATAAAATTAATAATTAAAAAACAGATATTTTTTTTATTTAAACAACATTCTCATATGTAATGTTCATAATATTTTTGCTGTAAAATTATCATTTATTAAAAACAAAACAAAAAATAAAGCTAAATCTCTCTTTTAGGAATCTATTAAGAAAGTATCTATTAGAAAGTAAAATAATATAAAAATCGTAATTATAAAAGAAGTAAATTGTGAAATAATTCATTTATTATGAATTTTTTTAAAATGTTTTTATGGCTCTATATTTTATCTTTATTACCTTTTTCATAACTTTGTTAAATATTATCCTACTTATAATGGTGTATTATATGACATATTTACTTGTATATTTCAAAATAATTTTTCACTATACATTTAATGATAATTTTCTTTTGATGTTAGATTTAAATAGAACACAAAACATTTATATTATTATTATTATTTAAGTTGAAATTTGAAAGAATATTTGATAATATTTTAAACAATGTTTGCCATCTTATTACTGATCAGCTCAGCACTTTAACACACACAGAGCTTGGCATTTAAACCAATGACCTGGTGATTGGTATCGCACTACTAACTGGTGCACACAATTGTATATATTTATTCATATTATGTACATAATAGATAATTTATCATGTTCTATAAATTTCTAATAGACTGTTCTTTTAAATTTCTAAAAATTAATTAATTCCTATACTTGACACATGGATTGCAGGTTTGGAAACTAACATGTTACACAATGAGAAGACACCTCTATCGAGTTCGCTTTTGATTGCGGTTGTTGTTGCAGCATTATTCGTTATTCTGATCATCATAGATGTCTCGTGCTTCTTCGTCAATGATAATGGTAAGCATCTTGTATTGTATTTTGGATGAATTAAAAAATGTAGTTATTAAACATTTTTTATTACCACACATTCATATTAATTTTATAAAAGGTGAAACTATCAAAAATTTACTGACAAGCCTTATTCCTCCTCCCTCTCCAATATCCAAATTGATATCAATGCATTCTGGATTGTTACTCAAGATTGTTGCTGTGGTAATTTCTAAAAATCTATTTTTTTTTTCTCACAATCTGAAATTTCTATTGTATTTTGATCATGTTATTCGCCTTCGCATCTTCATCTATGATGTTATTTATATATTCTACCCTCCCATGCCACCATGGCAATACGGGTGTTTGCAATAGTGTGTTATTAGACATGAATGCTTAATAACACACTACTACTGGTTAACTAAGCAAGGATATGCACACATCTAGCAGTTCTTCTGTTCTATCTTCTGCGGGCACCAAGCTCTTCTTCTATGACATGATATACAGCTTGTTTGATTTCCCTGAAGTTCTTTATAATTATTGTTTACTTGGATTATGAGGACTATAATATAATTTTATTCCCTGTAACAGTAGAATCAAATATAATAGCAGAGAAACTAATTTTAAATTTACAGCATCATAGCAATTCAGGCAAAGAAATAATCAATCCTAATACAGTTTCAGATTCAAATTATGTCAAATCCCTGCTTTTGATTTTCTATATCTTTTAATCCTTAACAGGATCATATAAAAAAAATTAGAAATATTTTCTAAGTTGGATTTTGTTTTAAAAATAATTATACTTCCATATTAGTATCTTATAAAATATACAGCCTGTATAGCATACTACTTAAATAATATTATTTTCAGGAATTAACCAAAAAAAAAAAAACCTTCAATTTGTACAGAAGCCTCTAAGCCTGATATTTAAAGAAACAGCTTCTTTGAAATATATAACATTGCATTTCCTACAGACACTACTCAACCAAATAAGCTTCAATTGTTCCTTTTTCCAGAAAAAAACAAAACAAACCGAATGGTGTGTTCTTGATTAGATTTTAGGCTCATATTTAATTAAAGAAGGTCATTAGCTATGCTCATCTTAATATCTTTGAGAAGTTTTTCTACATGGTCTTATTTAAATGACTGACATGGTTATAGCAGAAACAAAAAATGGGGTTTTCTCAATATTCTCTCAAATTTCTTGCAGAAGAAAGTTTCATCTAATACATTAAAATTATTTCCAATTTGTCTCAACAGATAGTTATTTAGAATAGCAAACTCAAAAAAATAATAATTTGATACAAATCATTTTTTATTAAATGACCCAAAATCAATAAAAATTTTGTTAATCCCTTAGTTGTTTCCAAAGAAAATCACAATAGAATTACAACTAAAAATATCAAATGCAGAAAACGACAAACAAATTTAATAACAAAATAAAATAAATGATAAAAAAAAAAAATTTAACACGCCCTCATTCTTGAGCGTTCAATAGTGACACTTCATTTTAGACTAATGTAACGGAGATCCGGGATGTTGTTTTGGGTTTTCTTTTCAATAACACTGAAAATTGGCATACTTCTTCTAGAACAATAACAACATTATAACATTGGAAGAGCAGTTGAAATAAACCCCTTTAAGCCTTATATAAAGTTGAGAAAACCTGGTACCATGTTGTATAAATGGTACGTTTAAAGGTTAAGTAGTTTTGTAGATTGTTATTTATTACAGTCATTGATTTTCATGCGTTCAAGATATTAAAGATTTCACATTGACTGGCTACTAGACAAGTACCTATTATTTTAAAGTACATGCTCCTATATCGTTTCTCTTTTTGTCTTCAAGGGTTTTACAATATTATGCTCTGAAATTTCACCTTATTAAATTTAAGTAAAATTGTGAAAAAATACTCAAAATTCTTATTTGAGTACTCAATATTTTGTTTTAGGTTTGCTGTGGCTCATGTGTGGTAAAAAGAAGAACAGGAAGCCTAGGGAAGACGATGCCAAGCTGAGCAGGTAGTTTCATTTTTAAAATGTTTCTTATCAATTATAGATTTCTCATTTGTAAGATTTATATATTAAAATAATGTATTCAAATTTCTTAATGAATGAAGGTCAGCATTTAAGGGAAGTCCTTTCATAATTTATATTCTATGATATCAAATATTTGAACTATATTTCTTGCTATTAAACATACACACTGTATTTCCTAATATCAAAAATTCAAATTGTATTCCATGATATCAAAAATTCATAACTTTTTTTTTGGGATTAGATCATAGATGGGATGATTTGTGCTAGGTCTGATTTTGTGAATTTAGGATTTGATGGATATGAGCAGTGGAAGGTATGTTACCGTTTGTGATTTTATGAGTGCCTGACCTTCTAGTTCTTCAGAACTTATTATTATTTACTGTTCGCAATGGTCATGCTATCAAAAGACTTTATTTGTAATAGAAGATTTTACGAGAAAGAAGTTCCTGATTGGATATGTTTATAAAATTTAATGTATTACAGAATTTATTAAATTTATACATTCACATCACTAACCTTTTCTTTTATGACTTTATGTAATATTAATGACGATGGAAAAAGTGAATCTTTTGGAAAAATCCTGAGCTTTATCTAAAACATCTTTCAGAAAACTAATTGAAAAAATCTGATGTGTTGCACGCATCACACAACTTTCACTTACCGCCCTTCATTTAGGAAAAATTGGTATTTTTAGACAAAGGGAAAAGAAAGTAAAAATCACAGACGATGTAAAATAATTTTTTGAAACAATCAATTACCATATGTTTTTCATAACCGTCTAGTGTATTTTACTTATGGTTGTTTTTATTTCCCCGCTAACCATTGCCTTTAAATATTGTATATTTTTATTATTTATTTGGTAATAATAAATAATTAAGTGTTATGAAATATTTTTAGTTCGATATGAGTGCCATTGATAATGAAGGCTGCTAAATTTATCTTTATTTCATTGTAGGTATTTTTTTTTGTTTAAGCGTTGATAAATACATATAAATTTTATTTTTTTTATTGTTGTCATTTATAAAATTAAATATTAAATAACATCAATGAAAACCGAACATGCTTTTCCAATGTGCTCTTCTAATCTTCGGCAAAACTCGGCTGCCTGTTCAGGTTTAGTCGGTTCTCTATTATTATAGTAGGTTCCATTTATTAATATTAGGTAATTTGAAATGGTTATTTTATTTTAAATAAACCAAATAAAAGGTACTTAAAGAAAATTTTTTGAAAAATCAGCGTTTAAGCCCTGGAAAATTATTCCGTAGGGGATAATGCCTATCTCATATTAAAGATAAAGATCACTTAATTTTACATTGATGTAAGGACATTAGGCATTTAAGCACTGTTAAGCGACATCAATGGTGATAAGACTTAATTGATATTTATTTACATGTTTATATATATTTATTTATTTATACATTGATACATCAAGTTTAATCAAAATCATCAGGGTAGGTTTCGAGGAAATAGGAAAAATATCTAACATCAATGATCTAAAGTGGCACTTTTGGTTAGCCAATTTTTGGGACAAAATTGCTGTAACATCCTAGGACTATACCTACCTTAAATACATAATTTGACTTTCATACAACTTTTTATTTTTAAGTAAGTCTGTTCTCATACTCAGGGTCACACTGACTATTTTGTGGGACTTATGGGGCTTATTGGACTCAGGAGACCTTAAAACATGTATTTCCTTTGAAATGTTTGACAATCGCAATACTTTTCCTTACCATATATTACATATATAGATAGGTAAGTGAAAGTAAAAGTGACATACTGTATAAAATGAAAAAAACTTGGATTGGCATACATCCGTTTTATATCATCAAGTCTATTGAGTGTAACATTATTTTTTATATTTTAGTAATCCTAAAGTGTAATATTATTTTTTATATTTTTAGTTAATTTATTTTCTGTTTTTTTTTTCTATTAAACTTCTTTATGAAATCTTAAAACCTAAAGTTTAAGTTTTAGTTTTGGCCCATTTTCAGCCTGTACAGTTGGAGGTTTCCTTTGCCTTATTGCAGCAATAAAGATGTCTCTTCGACCGAAGGTACAAGCCCCGGAAACCTCTCCAGTTGCGACAAACTTCCCCTTCCTGATGTGAATTTTGTCTTGTAAGATAGCAATGATGGCCCTTGGCAGGTCTTCTTTCTTCTTGATGTTGTCATGTGTTATACAGAAAAGTTCGCATGAATTTTATTAAACTCCAGCTTGATTTTTTGTAATATTATTGAGCATATCACTGGTATTTGCTTTTGAAAGCTTTCATTAAAATGTAACTCAATAAGAAATATCTTTTATATTTCAATGTTTTAGAAGTTATCATCGAAATTTCTAAAACAACAGTAGGTTCAATTAGGAATTTTAACCAATCATTTTGGCATATCTTGTTGTATCCTGTCATCTCAAGAAACTCTTTTTATCATTACTCACTTGAATTTATTGCTGAAAGGGATGTCATGCCCATCAACAATTTTAGATTTTTATTCAATGATTCATTCTTTATATGTATTTATACTGAAGAATGTATGGAAATGTATGGCACATTGTGTATTGGTTTTAAATTTTGTATTCACATGATTAGCTTTTCTGGTTCGCTATAGTATTGAATAAAAATGACTTTTGCATGAGTTATTTGAAGAATGATTTGTTGTATTTTGGTTGAATTGACCGATAAAGTGAAAATGTTTTCTTATTGAGTGGCATTTTTAAACAGTATTTTTTTTATTTATATATATTTTTGTTTTGCAATATTTTTTTTAAAGAGGTTTAAAAATTGGGCAAAGACCTTAAGCTTTTGGTTTTGAGATAAAACTTTATTCTTTTGTCACTGAATAATTATATTTTCAATTTTTTTTTCAGTGAAGGAAAAGGTTTACTTAACAATGGTAATAAAGATTCCAAGATAAGAATAGATACTGGTGCACCTATAGAAGATGGGTATGTATAAATTCAAAATAAATCCTAGAAAATTTTATTAGTTGTACAAATGTTGCTTCCAGTTTTGCATGTTGATATGTAGAGATGGTATGGCCAAGCTGGCTAATGCATGTCCCGGCAACCTGGATTAAAGATTATTTCAATAGAAAGTTTAGATTTTCTATTTAGTAATCTGTATAGTTGGGCATATCGTCGGTTAAGTTCCGGTCTTTTAAGTCTAGTATGAGGGTTCCACGTTAGTCGTCTGTGTGTACAAACGACTAATGTTATTTTTAGAGATATAAATCTTTAAAAAAAAATGAAATGAGAAAAAGTTTATGTATTACATATAATTATAATTTTCATGATATAATTTATACGTTATTTGTGCAGTACTTTTTCAATGTCAAGATAAAAACATATTAAAAAAAATTGAAGTTACATAATAAGCACCATATTGTGGCAATGCAAGAAAAATATAGTTATTTGCTTATTCACTATTACATTGAAATTTATTTTAAGAGGAAAAATGAAAGTAAAGTATTAAGTTGCTAACTGCTTGTGATTCTGGTTGAAGTTTGGAAAAAGAATCCAGGCATACCATCACATTCTCAACAGAAACTAGTGACTTTCCGTGTTTTCTTATTTGCCTCCTTACTTCCTCTGTAGCATTCTCTGCACTGCTTTTGCAGTTTTCTTCCCTCACCTGAGGGCTTAATAAACAAATGGACACGGCGCATCAGATGATTGATGGTGGTCGGTGCTGAGTTGCGAGTTCATCAGCGAAAACTGATCAGAAATTTGTAATAGATGTGGATTTTTCTTTTTTCATGATCCAAGAATTGACCAGTGAAGTTCCAAACATTATCTCAATCACCATGAATGTGCACTGTCCTGTCATGGCAGGGGTATATGTATCGGACGCAGGGGGATGATACCACAGAGAAATCATTTTTTATCAATCTGGTACAGTATTAGTCCCCAGCGTCCTACAGCTTTATATCAGATATAATGATTATTTACATTGGTAACTTTACATCTATCCAACTCCCATTCAAATATTTTTAAAAATGACCATCTTAGAGACTTTGTAAGATATGCAAAATTCGAAAAAATCCCAGCCGCTTGGCTGTCGAAACCAATATCGGAACCCTAACCGCAGCTAATGTGTTAAATAAAATTTGTCATTTTTTTTTTTTTTTTATGATAACAATGAAGAGAGGGGCAGGATGGCCAAGCAGACTAAGGCATGTGCAAATACGCCAGACAAAACCAGATGATTGATAAACCAAAGTTTACAAGATATAAAATAATTTCGAGTTCACATTCTGGTGCCGTTAGTTTTTATCTCTGGCATTTATAATGAGTGTAACCCTTCATAATTTTAGCTCTGACACCCTCTCTCCTGTCCTGGAGAAATCCTGGTATAGCTTAAAAGGGAAGGTAGAGATGGAGAAAAAAACAAACAAAAAACTAGACAGTTCATTTCAATGAATGAGTAGATCAGACAGGATCACTCAAAAGAGATATTATTGAAATATGTTTGAATTTTGCAATCTATAGTAATAAGATTTGCCCTAAATATTATATATAAAACTATTAAATGCTCCAAAGGACTGAGATATTGATCCCTGTAAGCCAGACATTTTTAGATAGGGAGTAAAAGAAAAAGAAAAGTTTTGACCAGGTTTTGCACTGGTTATTTTAAAACATTTTATGTAAACAGAACTTTTGCATTCATTCTACCCTCTTATTTATTAATTTCTACTCTGGATACCTAAGAACTTTCTGACTCATATTGGGAACTCTGGATTTATATTTATTATTAAGTACTTAAAAGCAAGAATTATTACAATTGTAACCCTTTATGATTTTTATTTCAGGTTCAAGCGTGATACAACTGTTGAATATGACATGAAGAAATCCATTTCGCGAACAAGTTTTGCTGGAAAGAATTCAGCTGTCTAGAGGAAGGTGATCATGTACCAAATAATGGACGAACAAACCAAAATAACGCCTTATATGACGATGTTATATTGTATAAAATTTTTTGTTTAAATGTTTTTAAATTGATAAAAAAATGAAAAGACTCAAAATTTGTACTTCCCTTGTTGGAGAAATGTTTTGAAAATGAATGAGCTTACTTTACATTTTGTTTTTCTTTTTGAGCTTTTTGGGACCTGTATTAGTTCATCACATGATCTGTTTTTAATTTTATTCAATTAATTATGTTTTGTATATTTTTAAAATAATTGTAAGTTTAGATTTTAAGTGTTACTTAAGGTGTAAATTTATAATAGTTTCTTTTTACTTATTTTTATTTTTTCCATTTGTAAATATAACCCATTTAAGTGTAATGGAGCGTAATTTTATAATGTTACTGTCACAGGTATTTAAAGAAAGTATTTTTATTTAAAAAAAAAAAGAAACACTGGGACTTAAAAGTGGAAAAAATTAATTTCCAGAGACTGAAACATAATACTTAACTTTTATTCCAAAAAAAATATATATATATATATATATATATATATATTGCTTAAGTAATTTTTTATTTGAGATATTTGTAATTGTGAGAACTTTTTAATAAATTGATTAGTTGAACTGTTCCTCACCATCTAGATTAATAGATAATGTCTCAACTTTGTCAAATAACTACATATTATTTACTCTTTTATCCATAGTTTTACTACAGTAAAAAATCTTCCTGATAGCACCATTTTTTAAACACCCCATAAAACAAGGAACTGAAAAGGATATTTTGGATTTAAAAGTTAATCATAAATATAAATATTATATTCATGCAAACATAATTAATATTTACTCTACAGTCATTACTTATCAATAAATAATTAAATTAAAAACCCAGCAGAGAAAACTGAATCACTTTTAAATCAAAGTATACTAGTGGTTATTTTAAACCTTTTTTTTTTTTTAATATATGTACCACAAATACCTATTATAAGGTTTTTTTTAACTATCCTAGAATAATTGAGTTTAAATGTAGCTATTTGTGTTAACTGAAAAATTGTTTCAGTCTCTGTGTATTTTGTTGATATGCAAAATTTTTTTTTGTTTACACTAATGAAACGTGCTTATAATGGACATATGATCCAAAGATTATTGTTTCTTGTATAAATAACAATGTGATACGTAGAAATTCAACACGTCTAGTTTATATTTTCTTAATAATACCTTGGAATAGTTTTTGTTTGTTTATATATAGAGACGTACTTATTATATATGTGCAATGATATGCTGGCTGTCGTTCGGCTGGAAATAAAATCTAAGCTATGTAATTAATAACTTTTTTCCAAGTTTCAACTACTGCTGTTTTTTAAATAATTGTCTCCGTATAAATATTTTATTAATAATCTTTTGAAATTATCTATGTGTAATGCTTGTGTTGTTGTGATGCCATCGCTGCATAATATGTAAAATGACTGTCTTGAAAATATTTCATTCCAATTATATTCTATATTTATTTTCTACATTATTTTTTACATATATATAAAAAAAATCTTGTTCTTAAAGTAAACCTGATTTATTTTTCTCATACCTCTTAAGACTGGCAATGAACAAAATAGACAATAACGTTCCTATTCAGGAAATTATGTACTTAAATAGCAAAGTATGTTGTGGGTACTTCAACTTTACAATATATGCTAGAGCACTCATTGCATTTAAAAAGCGCCAACGTACTTTCAGATTTAAAACATCAATTTCTTCAAATTATGCATTTCATCTTAATTGTAATTAATTAAGTCTTTCGCTCCCATTTGAATTAATAAAAGAATTTTTCTTTTCTTTTATATATATATATATATGTATTCACATGTGGAAGTTATATATAAATAAATATATATATAAATAATTGTTGTATAAAAGATATGGCAAATGTGGTGGCTGATGAATGTGGTGTACTCTTCTCTTTTTGATGCTGCATTTGTGGATTATAGTGCGCTTCCAATATTTGTGAAAACTATCTTTTATGTCTTTATAATAAAAGTACAAAATAAGATTGTCTTTATTTATACTTTTTATAAACCCCACTTTGAAAAATACTATTTTTAAAATGAAGGAATAATTTTAGTATTTTTAAACCTAAATTTTAACTGAAGAGGAGGATGATTAGAGTGATCAGTCAAAATAAATAATTATATTTGCTTAAATTTTTATATTTGCTGATGTTTCGGTCCAAAGTTCAGGCCTTCATCAGGGCTGGTCAATTGAAGAAGCGTTGAAAGACCACACTCTTCAAGCTTACTTTCTACGCTTCTTCGATTGACCAGGCCTGATGAAGGTGTGAACTTCTGGCCAAAACGTAGGCAAATATAAAAATAAATATAATTTTTTTTATTTTGACTCATCCCCCCAACCATACTTCTCTTCAATTATTCACTACAGTCAACCATCAATCCACAATTCTTAAGGCAAATTAGGAATTTTGCAAAACCCACAAAAGTAAGCCTGTTTCTTAATCTAATCCTCCTTAATATTAATCTTACTAGAATATTAGTGCTATTGCTATCAAGGTGGTTGGTATCCAATAACAATAAGCAAGTTATATTTGGTTAGTTGTCTTTTATTTAATGATTATATCGGTATTTTATTTATTGTTTTTACTACAGTTAAATAAATTATCAACAAACATAGAGTGAGTTGCTTTCAGTCTCAAGTCACATTTCGATGATTGTTTATATTCATGTATGTTTGTTTCAACATATTGTTTTCTTTCATTATACTTAAGAAAAGAATTAATTTAAATTAAACATTAACATCATAGTCAATCCTCTCTATAACTTATCAGTGTTTACAGGCCTTTATGATCTATTGCTATGCCCTCTACAGCCTCTTTTCTATTTTTGCACCCTCATCCTCTTCCTACTAGCTGAATCCAAAACTAAAACAAACAGTAAGGGATTAAGGCTTGGGCCCTGAAACATTCCTGTTCAGATTCAAATGGATGCTAAGCATAATATGGCAACATTACTAAATTTCTGTTTTGTTTGTTTTAATAAACCTTCAACTATCAATATATACTCTTGATCTATTTATTTTACTCTAAAGGTCTTCATTAAGTCTCTCTTCTTTGCTTGTTTGAAAGCTTTTGATGGATCAACAAAACAAAGATAATTCTTTTTGTTTCTTTATTACTTTTTCAAAGACATTTCTCATAGTAAATATCAGATCTTTTGTCCACTAATTGGAACAATTAAGGAAACTTCCCAATCTTTCAAAATTTCTTTTTGGTTCCATACCACGTTCAGCTTAAGGCTATTTTTATGGTTATTTTTTAGAACAAGCATACTGATCATTAATTAAAAACTTTAATTAAATGTTATGAAGAATTAACATGTGACTTATGAAAATTATTGGTGGGGGCCGCACTATATCATCATGTGGGAGAGGTTGGAAGGGGGGAGGGATATTGTTTGGAATGTATCCTATATGGGTATAAGCAATTTACTTATAATAAATGCCTAAGTGAAAAATGACCATCTAAACCAGATATTAAGTGGTTTCAATCCCTTCTTGTTGACAAAAAATACTAAATTCTTTATGTCACATAAAATACTTTAAACTGAAACAATACAGTATTTTAATAGATGGTTCCTTTTACAGTTTAGGTGAGTTTTTGAATCCAAATAACTAATCAAATATAAATTTACTTTTCATTTAGACTATTATTTTTTTACACCACCATTTTATTTTTGGGGGCTAAGTCCTCACCATGGCAAAATTGGAGGGGCTTGAATCCCGCTAGCCCCTAGTATTTGGTGGTCTATGTATTCACTAATGAAAGCAACACATTGTCTGTCACCCCTGACCAAAATTAGTTATAATATAGTATTTTATAAAATATAAATTACAAAAAGTATTTATTTATTTTAAAAAGTTCATTTATTTTATAAAGGAAGGAGATAGTCCAGGGTGGTGGTCATAAATAGGCTAAATAATGGCAAAACTATTTTATTAAAAGCCAACGTTTCGACTCTACTTTGCAGGTCTTCTTCAGGGAGGTGTGTTCAGCAAGTTGAGTTTCACTTAGAACTCAATTTTATGTATATATATTTTTTCAATTTTATTTTATATTTTAAATGCTCAAAGTAAATCATCAAATGATGAACAGTTGCTGTCTTTGGTTTTAGCTGACGACTAGATCATGATAATGAGGTGGAACGTCTATCACGAAAAGATGGTATTCACGCCACGAATTTACTTCGAAAATGTGGGCTTACGAATTCTTCGGGAAGACCGAATCTTATCAAATCGAATACATAGTCATTGGCGATACTGCCATTGGTGCAATTCTAGTTGACAGGGAGGCCTGTAAAAAGGTGAATATATCTAAGTACCTTGGTTCTAATTAGGATGCTGTAGGGTTGCCTGAGCATGACGTCATAAAGAAGGTGAAACAAACCTGAATGTTATATCTAGTCCTCTGGAGTACTGAGAGTTCCACCGAGAACAATCTTCACAGCCATAGTGGAGTTTATCCTGACATACACTTCAGAAACGTGGATAATGAACTCCCCTTTGTACTCAAAGGTGCAGGCGGTTGAAGTGGATTTCTAGAGGACTTACCTCCATGCCACTAGGCTGGATAGAATTAGGAACGAAGAAATTCGGCAGAGGATGGATGTGGCTACTGCAGTAAATGGGAAGATCAGAGTAGGCCGCCTAAGATTCGTCCATCTTAGACGGCGTGTCCTGATGTTAAAAGAATGTTGACCGAACCTAGTCCTTGATTGGGTTGCACCAGGAAAGGAAGGACGCGGATGCCCCAGAAACATATTAATAGGTATCCTAATTAACGTAAAACAGCGTAAGCGTAACGTAACGTAAAGCAGCACCATCATTATGGCAAAGCAATGAACGAGAATCGATATGAGGGGAGTCCGTCACTTGTAAAAAAATTACAAAATCACTTATTATATAAATAAATTACAAAATACTAAAACAACTAAATTAGAGACAGACAATCGTCTTGTCATCATTTTTTTTTGGGGGGAGTTGAGAAGAAAGGGGGTGCCATCATTGCCCTGGGCACCGTATAAAAAACCTGTACCACTACAACCCATGAAGGATCTTGGGTTCAGTACTATTTAGGGAAAGCACTGTTTCTAGGTCAACGGTTGTGGAAGGAGATAATTTGACCGAGATCACGCTCAACCGCCAAGTTTTTCCTCAAATTAATTATTTAATTAAGAATACTCATTTTATAGAGGCTGGGTGTGCCCAAAGAGAATCTCCCGACCTAGGGTCTCCCCTCGGCCAATGAATCAGATAAATAAATTTTCTGCCATTAGCCGGGGTTCGAACCTGGGACCTTAAGCATTGGAAGCTCAGTGCCCTCCACTGAGCTACTCCACTCACTTGAGTATTTTTTAACAGTTAATAATAAATATGAGGATTTTCTGCATAGTAAAACTCAATCTTCCTGACAAAAACAGGTAATAATACATCAATGTTTATATTTTGATTCGATTTCATCATTAAAAAAAAATTATCTTTTGTCACTTCCCTACTATCGTTATAATGTTATCTAAACTAATTTTAATTATATCACAGATTTAATTGATTTTAATATCTCGTGTTCTCAATTCTAGTAACACAATATTTTTTAGTATTTGGGCGTAATTATCGATTTGGAAATAGATTTCGTTTTATCGTTCAATTGATAACAACTCTTCTATAAGTAATTCCAATAATTAAGACCAAGATTTTGTATAATAAATTAAATTCATTAATTAATAATATTTAAAAGTTATAAGATAACTCTTTTACCGAAATATCAAACATATGGGAAACATCACAAATAGCAGCAACAGCTGTTGACCAAAAACAGTAAGTACTTCCTTACTAACAAGGGGAGGCTACGGACGTGGGGTCACGGATTTCAATGAATTTTTTTTTTTTGGTGATACTAGATCGAGAAATATTAGACCCATGTCCGAGGGTCCTTGCCAAAGTGCCCTAGGAGCTGAGAAAAAAAATATTTTATAGAAAATTATTATATTTTTATCTCCGACTTTACTCCGACCTTAATCTGAATGATTTTATAAGTTATTGTATATGTGAAGGCAGCGGGCGTTCAAAAGTGAACCACCAAATCTGCTCTATCAATTCCATAGGCATTGGTTATTAATTTATTAATTAATTAATTTTAACCTTTAAAAACATTAAAAAGAAATCCATTGAGGATAAATATGTATAAAAAAACGGAATAGCAGAAATATAAATATATTGAAAATAATAAATGAACTGAACATGCCAACAAATAAATGAAAGAATAAATTAATATTATTTCTCTTGATATAGTAATGAATGAGAGAAAAAATAATAATGAATGAGAGAAATACAATATTGCTATAAACATTAAACAAAAGGAAAACAACCTCAAACTGATGAATTAAATTTACAATGTTCTAGGGCTGTTTTGTTATTAAAATAATTAATTATTATTATTTAATGAAAATGCAATCAACCCAGATGTTAATTTAATTGTTTTAAAATTATATTACACAAGGCCATAATTTATATTTATATAAATCTAAAATTATAATATTTAATATACAAAAAAACTGTGGGGGACAACTAAATTTTCGAACATCAAACGCATCCAATCCTTCCAGTCTAAAGTCCTCCGTATAATAGTCAATGCTCCTTGTTATGTTACAAACAAAACCCTATATCATGACCTTTACATCCCTTATGTCCTCGACGTTATTCCATCTCGATTCTCAAATTTTCATCTGAATCTAATCCACCATCCTAATTCCTTAGCACAATCCTTACCCAGCTCCAGTCACCTCTACAACCTTTCTCGAAGGTTGAAACGGCAGTGGCCTCGAGACCTTTTGTAAAGACTGTCACTGGAGTTCTGGCAATGGCCAGCCTCTCCACTCACGTCATGAGCGTCTGTTGCTTTAGTGCCCTCTCTCAGTTTCCACTGGACTCCTGCCGGTGACGCAGCTGAGAGAGAAGCGCTGGGATCTCTTAGAGTCTCGCTTTGTCCTTCACACGTGGAGGAAAGGGCTGGACTCGGAGCTCCCTTGGCTGATTGTAAATAAAGTATGAATGTTTTTCTTTTTTACATATTAAGTAAGAATGTTTTTCTTTTTTATATATCTATTTGTTTTACTTATGACTTATTTAATTTGCTACCAATTTCTGTATTTTTTTTTTATTATTATTATTATTTTTTTAAAATTTGAATTCAAGTTACATTTCTTTAGTTTTATAGTTTTTACCTTTGTTATATGGATATTTATTTCTATTTTTTATTTATTTATTTTTTTTATTGCATTGTATATATAGTATGAATGGGCCTCACTCAGCTTTAGTACTCAGTGCTCTTAAATGTGGCAAAATGTATTATTTCTCAATAAAAAGATTTAAAAAAACACCCATTGCTGCCAGCAGCCATACTGATTTGCCAATGTTTTCTTTTTACCTCTGGTATTAAGTGATACGACGAGAGGCGGGCTGACCCGGAACTGGCCGAAAACATCGTCGCTGTTACGTCTGTGTGTATGAAATATTTAAGAGGCTCTACATACAATACTTAATGTAATTATACATTTATATAAATAAGACCCACATATAAATAAACATATTTTCCATGTTGACACGAAAAGAAAAACATAAATAAAATACATAGCACATGCCATTCACAACCAAAACAAAATTGACCCCCCATACTACGACAAGGCAAAAACAAACAATAAAACTACACATGTTGGCGTCAACAGTATATCAATCGATTTGTTTGTGTAGAATAAGTAAAACATATTGCTTATTGTATTAAACGAATTCTTATATATATAATAAATTACAAAATCCTATAGATATTCCATTAAAGTAGTCCAAGTGAATTTTTGTCATGAAAAAAATAATCAGATTCGTTTTTAGGGAGAGTCCGCTGAAACTTTGCTTAAAATACTACTTTTTCTGCCCTGGCTATAGGTTTATATGTACAAAAGGAAAAGAAACAATCTCCGCCAAGAACTTGGAAGGAAATAGAAAACACTAGCAATCCTGGCTAAACGCCCTAATATCCTGATAGCCACAACAAGGTGACGCTAAAAAAGAAGGAATAAATAACTTGAAGGATTAAATTAAAAAAAATTATACCCAACCGGTAAGATAGTAATCTTCACCTTTCACTTCTCAGACGATATTTTTATGTATTGAGAATCGCAATTGCGATTTGCGAAAGAAAGTAGGCAATGCGAGAATGAAAAACAAGTGCGAAGTGAAAATCACTTCTTTTTATAAATAACTGTAACCATGATCTGCAGTTGTCATATTACAATAGATACATAAATACTATAAAATTAAGAGCAGTTGTATTACATTAATTATGTAAGTTATATTTTTTTGCAAAATCTCGGAATTAATACATAAAATTATTAATGAAGATAAGATAAATAATAAGAAGTCAGAAGACCACGTAAAAAGGGGAAAAAAAGTAGATGGATAGATATAATTAACAAAGATGCCGTTGAGCTGCGTGCTGGTAACTGGAAAGAAATAGCTCAAAACAGTCAGACATGGAACAGACTTGTTAAGGCAACAAAAGATCTACATGCGAACCGGAAAAAAAAATATATAGATAAGTAATATATAGTCTTGAAGAAAATTTAATGCTCAACATCTTTCTTCACCATGGCTTCTCCATAGAATGAAGATTAGTTAGCTAGGCAAACGAAGACAAAAACGTGAGGAAAACATTTTTATTTTCAAAATCAGTGATTATTGAGCACGAATATCTCGGAAAATGTGTGAGATAGCGAAAGAATGAATATCATCAATCTTTTAGAAACTTTTATCAGCTTTATTTTGTATACAACGTCTTTATCGCTGATACGCTCAGTTTCCTTAGTTACGAAATGGACTTAATCCGTAACAAATAATAATATTAATTTAACTTTTATTTTATTTAATATACCAATTGGTGAATCATGCATTGACCTTTCTCATGACTTTTATAAAAGCACAAAGCCCTAGATAGCCAGGTCAAGCTATCTCTGATAGCTTAGAAATATTTATCTAGAATTTACCAACTGGACACAAGACCCATTATCAAGACTTAGGGAACAATAACCGTTTTCAGCAAAAGAGCACTTTCTCACAGACTTCATATCAATTCTAAAAGATAAGGATATCAATTCTTAATAGTTATAACTTCATTCACACGCTTCCTAGACCGTCCAGAATTGATTCCTCCCCCTACTATTCCTGAATATATAAACTTTATGATCTTCAGACCAAATCACTCATGTAGTTAATTCTCTTGAGTTCATAATATTTACTGTAGGAGACCTGGAGTGAACTGATGTAGTCAACCCATAGTATATTACTCTGTATTTTAGATGCCATTTGTAACTTTATGAATAAAACCATTACTTATAAAGTCTCCACTGCCTCCGATTCGTTAACTCTTGATATAAGCGCTGAACCGAAAAAAGTGACTTTTCTGGGTGGCTCCTACTTCCGCCTCGCCTCCTAGCAGTTGAGACTTTTAGCATTTTTATTTTCTAACTAGTCTGAATAAAGTACCGAAGTCAAAGACTGTGTTCCTTTTATTTCGCTCTGAAACCATTCATTGACTGGGCTATTGGTACTTATTTGGGGAGGCTACGGACGTGGGGTCACCTATTTCAATGAAACTTTTTTGGTGATACTAGGTCGAAAAATATTAGACCTATGCCCGAGGGTTCTTGCCAATGCCTGCCGAGAAAAAAATATTTTATAGAAAATTATTATATTTTTATCTTATTGTTTTCTGACCTTAATCTTATTGAATTTAAGCTTACGTTTTAAGCTTGTGTTACAATTAATTGCCTTTGGTGTAACTATTGAACTCAAAAATCTTGGATGTTGATACATACACCGATACAGAGGAAGATGTCAACTTGTGAAGAACTGTAATGTGTAGTGGGAGGCACCTGGGCCTTAATTGTTTCAAAACATAAAAAAAGAGAAAAAATAGAAGCATAACTTAATAATTCAAACCATCAAACTTAAAAATCGATTAAAAAATTGTCACTTACAAGTGGGCAACCCAAAGTCATAACTATAACTAAAGAATTCTTTGGGCTGAAAATAATAAAAAGATTATTTCTTAATATGAGACTGCTGCGGTTTACTAGAAATAAATGAATTACCAGTTGAAGGTATCAAAGTTTTTAATGAATTACATAATATATTGCTTATAATAACAGTGTTCTTATATATTGCTTATAATATCAATTATTAATTTTTTTTTGTTTAATGAAATATTCTTACATCGGATTGAATATTACACTTCAACTCACTTAATTATAGTCTTTTTAAAACCACCCGCAATTACGAACTCGGGCTCTTAAAGCCTAAATGGCTCTTCATTTCTTCCTCCGTCTGAAAAAAAGATGATATTATATTTACAGGCATGTTAGAAAAATAGATAAACTTTAAATAAATTACCTCAATGAATTAAGTTAAAATACAATATAATTAGTAACTGACAGAGGGGAATCGAACCCACAACGTTCAGAACCGAGCACTCCCCCACGCTTCTTCCCGTCTTTCGCAGTCGAAATATAATATAATCCATGGCTACTAAAAGAAATCGAAAGCCAATCATAAAATAATTATTTTTTTTTGTGTTGGGTAGAGAAAAGAAACATGGTTTGAGTTTTTAAATTAAAGGGACCTTAAATTTATCATTAAAATTTAACCATACGATAAAGTGTTTAAAAAGATCACCGACAAGCAAATCAGGGCATTAAAAAACAAAACGAAACTCCTAAATTGAATAGTTAAAATATTTCACCGCATATTTTAAGTTTTAATTAAAAAGTAAATTTGGATTGAAAATGCAATTGCAACTGGCAAATCAGACGAAGAACTTGAATGTGTTTCAACATAGGAAACTAAGAAATGGAAATTTATATTATGCTCTTCATATTCATAGAAAATTATAAATTGTAATTATGCTCTATAACAATAATTATTAAAATAAAAAGGAAAACAAAAATATGTCAGATCACACAACTTTCTCTTATCACCCTACATAAATAATTAAATTTATGCTAGAATAGGGCTAGGTAACATTTAATTTTTAAATCTATTACTTAACGCAAAGCACCAAATTTGGGGTTCACGGCTATGCACTCCAAGAGGAAGAGATCTGAGGTTTGCTATCCATAAACTTTCATTAGACACTATGTCACCTAATACACCGGAATATTGGCCAGCTTCGCGACAAAAAACTCCAGACATACTTGATTTTTTTATAACAAAAGGACTACGCACCATACCTCACACCATAAATACAAGCTCAGATCATTCCCTTATATACTTGGTCACCCTAGATGAGCCCATCAACCTTCCAAGAAACCCAAAGCTCATCAATGGTAAAATAGATTGGGATGCATTTAGGGCATTTCTGGATACAGAACTGTCAAGCCCTGGATCAATTAAAACTGAGGAAGAACTAGATGAGGCAGTTGACAAATTTACTAATAATGTTCAAAAAGCTGCTTGGACTTCCGCACTTCCAATGCCATCATGGCCAGAATATTTACCCAGATACCCTCAGTATTTAAGGGACCTGATCACGGTAAACAGAAGATCTCGTAAAGTATGGCGGACTGACAGACTTCCTTCCGATAAACGAACATTTAACAGACTGAACAACGAACTTAAACGACTAATACAATAATTCAATGTGAAAAACTACGATGCTTACTTGAATACCCTATCGACTGATGATGGAAATTTGTGGAAGCATACCAAGAATTTGTTAAAACATCGAGAGGTATCAGTACCCCTGCGAAAAGAGGATGGAGAGTTCATGGGCTTTGTCGGATAGGGAAAAATCTGAACTATTTGCTGACCATCTATCATCTGTATTTACACCATTTACTGACTTCACAAACACAGAACATGAACTCATTGTACTAAACAATTTAGATATACCACCACCGATGACACTACAACCTCTCTCGTTTACTCCATCACAAGTCGCACAACAAATCAAACATCTACCCAAAAGAAAAGCGCCAGATTATGACTTAATAACTGCCGAGGCGCTCCAGCATATGCCCAGGAAAGCACTAGTGTTTTTTACAACAATATAAAACTGTATCCTGAGGACTACTAAATTCTCTCTACAATGAAAATATTCATACATCAAAATGATACACAAAAAGGACAAAGACATTTTCAATCCCTCATCCTACCGACCGATGATAAGACTTCTCCCATATGTTCTAAACTTTTCGAAAAATTAATATACAAAAGATTGGTTGAAATACTGACGGAGAGAAATATAATTCCTGAACATCAGTTCGGTTTTCGTATGTTCCATTCAACAACACAGCAATTACACAGAGTTACAGACTACATTGCTGGAGCACTAGAGTAAAAACAATACTCAACCGGCGTGTTTCTGGATATTGCCCAGGCATTCGATAAAGTCTGGCACCAGGGACTTCTCTTTAAACTCAAGACACTACTACCTCATACATATTACCTCATTCTGCAATCTTTCCTTTTTGACAGATTTTTCTCTGTCCGACAACGCCTAGAAATTTCCTCAATTCGATCTGTGTTAGCAGGGGTACCTCAAGGATCAATACTGGCTCCTTTACTCTACATTATATATACGCATGACATACCTATCAACTCCGAAATATTGACCGCCACCTACGCTGATGATACAACAATTTTAACAAAACACCATAACCCCAGATAAGCCTCAATAAATTTACAAAATAATTTACTGACTTTACAAAATTGGTACTCATTTTGGAGAATAAAATTAAATCATGCCAAGTCACAGCATATAACATTTACAGTTCGGCGAGAAACGTGCCCACCAGTTTATGTAGGAGAGAAACAAATTTCTCAGACAAACACAGTGCGTTACCTGGGACTAATATTCGACAGAAGGATGATCTGGGGCCCACATGTCAAAATGAAACGACAGACCTTAAACGAGCAACTGAAAATACTGTACTGGCTCTTTTCTAAATCGAAATTGAAAGTTCGACAAAAACTAAATACATACACTTACCTACTCAAACCCATCTGGACATACGCCTCTCAGATTTACGGTTCGACAAAAAATACGCACTTACAAAAACTACAATCATTTCAATCCAAAATTTTACGACTTATAAGAGGAGCTCCCAGGTACGTCAACAACAAAACTTTACATAACGACTTACGACTAACAACTATAGACCAACACATACGTATTCTACACTCGTTTTTATCTCAAACTACACGGACACACAAACAGATTTATAACCGACATGGCTACGACTGACATACCCATCAGGAGGAGATTAAAAAGGAGCTGGATGAGAGATCTTCTCTGACCAGGAAGAGGTGCTGCTGGGTACTATCCTTCCTCCTGAATTTAATGCCTATCCTCATCATCACAACACATCTGCTGATTGTCAACATCATGACAGGTGCGGATAAATAATTACAGAGAAAATAAAATCTATTATCGAGGCTAAATCCATCAAACTTAAATAGTTTCAGTATGTCATGGACATACTGCCCATCTTCACGCCTCCTCTCACAAATTTAACATAAAATATTTTTCAAACTATTCGACGCATTAAATATTTTTCATTTTATATTGTAAAATAACAAATTTCAATAGTTTCCATTTAGTTTTGTAAAACAATTTCGATTTTAATATTTAAGAAAATATTGTTTCTTTACATACTTAATATCAGTTACCTAGATCTTGTTTTTGAAGTGAAAATATTTTTAGGCGCGTTTTGCAATTTTTAATGGAGATTGAATTAGATTGAGCCATCAGATGTGTAACGCTCGGGTAAAGTCGTCTGGAGTCAACTAATTGAAATGTTTTTACATATGGATTTAAATATCTCCAAAATTAAAAATCGGACCTGCATATTGCGAGCGAGGAAAATGTTCATCATTTCATCCTCTTTGTAACGAGCTATTATTCAAAATTGTATCTTAACGAGACGCCGTGTTAGAGAGGTGGAAAAGAAAATATAGTGTCGAAAACCAAATGATAACTAGTTTTATGGAAGATATGAAATAAAATATCTCAAAAACTAAAAATCGGACCAGCTTACCGTAAGCGAGGCAAATGTTCAGCATTTCATCCTCTTTCTAATGAGATATTATTTATAATTTATATTTCACATTATTAATCTCGCTTTGTTGATGTTTTCACTTCTATCGTGCGGTCAAAAACACACACCTCAGTTTTTTTTTTTGTTTCACGCATAAACGGCATGTGGACACACGCACACTCACCTCCATCAGACAGATCAGTTGACGAGACTTAAAATGTGACTTGAGTGACCTTAAAATGTGTATTTAGGTTTAAAACCCGAGACAAAATTTTTCACGATTATTTCATATACAGGTAAGTGAAAATTAAATATGTATAGGCCATATACTTACCAAGTCAGAAAAATTGTTCAATCCCAATCTGTATGAGACTAAGCCTGCTTCGTGTTTCTTATTGTGTTCTTCGACAAACTTTTTGTTTTTAAGATAGATCTCCTTCCGCATCTGATCCTGTGCTTGGTCTGAATAGCTTTTACTAAACTGTGCCTAAACAAAACAAAGTAAAATAAAAATACACAAACTAAGAATTAATGTTAATAATTGTGAAAGTAAGACGTCCATGTATTTGATAACTAGCATCATGAGAAGTAACGATTAGGTGTAGCTTGTCTATGAAGAGAGCCGAGTGATAAAATTAATGAAAATCTTATAAAAAAAAAATAAAAATAAGAAACTAAAAACAAAAATAAAGTTTTAACAATCGTAAAATTCATACTATCCACACATTTATCGATTGATTATCACATTATAACGGCAGAGTTGAAACGTCAATTTGATGAACTGTTATTAATTGTTGTGTAATCGCATAGATAAAACCAACGATAACGGGTTCGATTGATCAACAATAACTTTTTAACTCTGTTAAAATAAATATTATTATGAACAGTTTATTGCCAGTAACATCTACGGAATATTCAAAAATATTAAAAAATTTCAAATAAGGCTAACATAAGTAAGGTATATTTTTTTTAAAATTAGCATTCAACAATTTACCTTGTAACTTTCCCAGTCATCTGGAGTAGGTAAGGCGCAGCAGCTTGCTACTACGAACAAGAGGAGAACAATCTTCATTCCTGAAAAAAAAATTAAATAATAACAATAAATAAAATAATCCTAAAGTAAAATTGATATACTTACATTAAAGACATCTACCAAATAAAATTTATTTTATATGAATCGGAAAAGCATAGAATATCTCTCATCGTAACGACAGCATATATACATATATGTGTGTGTGTGTGTGTGTGTGTTTTATTTATTCAGAAATATAACAATCTGTCAAAAGGGCAATAATTAACAGTGATATATGAACAAATTCACACCATATATACAGAAAACATAAAATAAACAACGCAAAATATCAACTAAATAATAATCAAAAAGTATACAAAATAAAATTACTTAAAGATAAGTAAATTAAAACCATAAAAACTATAGAGGGAAAAGCAGGACTCCAAGACATCCGTGCGCTACTCTCTCAACCGCGTAACTAAAGCCAGTGGAGATTGAGCGAGAGCGCTGTGAATATAATTAAAATGGTTATCGAGAATAATTTATAGATTTACTGTGAAATATCAACGGTATCATTTTATTGTTGTTTGGAGAAGTTACAAATATACAGAAAACATACTTATCGCCGATAGGAGTCACAGTAGAATAATCGGTAGAAATGAAAGTGATTCTTAGAATTTTTAAACCAATGGTGAAAAATACTAATTTATTTATTTTTTTTTTTAAGTTTCAGAATAAAAATAAAAATCACTATTTTAATATATTTTTAAGACATTTATTAGATCCCATTCGTCAGTGTTAGCTTAAGAAAGATACAAACATTAATCATGTTTAACACTCAGGACGTTATTTTAATTCTATATGAGTGATTCTTCAAACAATGATGTAGTATTGAGCCAATCAAATCTTATTGACAACAGTTGAAAATTACTGGTCTACGAATACAGTGGAGGACACAATGATAAACAGCAATATAGTGAAGTATTGTTATATAATTTAAATATTTTATTATATTTATTGTACATAGAGTGTGAATGTGATGTGTGAACACTATTATAAATGTCCTTGAGACAGAATGTAATATTTTTCAATAAATAAAAATAAATATTCTCAAAAATCAACACTTAAATCATAATAAAATTTTCAGCATAGATTTAAAACATTGATTAAAAAGAACAAAAATTCCCTATAACTAGAAAGTTGAACTAGATTAAAATATCACATTATTGCCAAAACGGGTTTTAAACATTCTGAGATATGTTACGGTAATTGCATAAAATATTATGAACTGTTAAAATTGAATTTACTTTTAAAAAAAGACCGTATAATAGAAAATAAAATATTCAAGCGGCTTATGAAAACATCAAGATTAATAGAACTCATCATATATTCAAAATTAAAATATTCTGTATGCGAAATAATTGAGATATTATTTTTTTTTCAGTAACTAATATAGGTAGTATTCAAATTCACTAAATTTAATTAAAAGAAAAATCTTTATTTTTGAAAATTAAACAATAAAAAATGAATAAACTAACATTAACGTACGTAGTGGTTAAAAAAATATTTAGTAAAAATATGTCATCTTATTGGTTGTAATTATCTTTTTGTATTGTTTTACATTACTATGCACAAAACCTTCCAGTTAATATTTAATTGTTTAACCTATTGACTTTACCACCAGACATAATTGGTAGTAGAAATATTATAATGAATTATTTCAGTTATGAAATACATCAAAATATGTAAACAAAAAATAATAACATACTCACTGTAGGACAGTAGACAGCAGACTGAAGCGGACTCAATCACTTCAAGGATAAGAAATCAGTATTCTTTATCTATGATTCAGCATTGCGTTTTTGTTTTATTTTTAACGGAAATGTTGACGAATGAAATGTGGATGAATGAAGAGAATAAAGGAATGGCGGATTTTCGTGGAAAATATGTTCATATATTTTTTCAAAACTTTCCTTTCGACTTCTTAGATACTAAATCTTTTAAAAAGCTGAATTCGTAAACAGCCGGGTCAACCCATTAAAGATCTTGGCACTTAAAATCAACGACGCATGTGCGTAGTTCACATATTCAACGTTATGCGTGTTATAGAAGATGGGAAACAAACGCTTTAAAAATAACAAAGCTATCGTTGTGAACCTCCTTAATTAAAGTTAATGAAATATTGTTGTTATTCATAAAATTAATAAATAACTATTAGGTTATATTAGTTTAATGTTTAAATAAAATTTTTATTACTGTGATTTCCAGTTCGTATCGAAAGTTTAAAAAACAAGTGCTGAGAATACGAAAGTTTCGCTCGTATTTACTTTTAAGACATCAGAAAACAAATTTCCGTGAAAGTCTTTCTAAAGAAAAACCTTTGTATCTGGCTTTTCAGCTGATACAGTCAATTTTCAAAGATTGTGCAATATATACAGTTACAATAAAAACAAGTAGTTACAATATATATGCTATGGATAAATCTAAAAATCAATATTATTTCCATAAAAACTATTTACAGAAATTAAAAAAAAATTTAAATATATCGATGAGCTTGTTAACATTATTGTAAACAGGTTTATTTTAATTAAAAATGTCTCTAATAACTTAAGAATGAACCTCAATATTGAGGAAATCCAATTCGTTAAAATAAATCGATACGTCGAGGTTATAAATTATTGGGTAATTTATGACTATTATGAATATAATAGTTGGTTGTAAAGGGGTCATGCATTCAGGCAATGCAACTCATTGTTCTACAATTAATTCATTACATTTTTTATTTATAAAAATGTATTACAACTGTGAGAATGGCTTAAGAAATACTAAAAGTCTCGTAAAAAAAAAGTTTGGCAGTATAGATTAATTCTCGGTGACGAGTTGTTGCACCGTTGTGTGTATGCTTTCATTATGATTTTTTTTTTAAAAGGAAATACATCGTTGGGATTTCCGCTGGAATTATGTTCATATCTTTCTTCAAAATCAAAAACGGTTGTATCAATTTCTTTGATACTAAAGTTTGTAAAAAGTCGATTATCATTCTTAGTCCATTTACATATTCAACGTTATGTATGAAATAGCAGAAGAAAAACACGGTAAAAATAATTAAGCTGCGGAGTTCATATTTACAATAATAAATTATTATTATTATTAAAAAATATATATTTGCAGTCCGGACATATTAACTTTACGTTGATAATATTGTTTCCTCTTAATGTGGAAATTTAATTTTAAAAAACGTGCTGAGAATATAAAGCGTTTTAAGTTTTAAATATCAAGAAACAAATTAAGTTTCGTATCTGTCTGAAGTCAAATCCTTGTTTCAACCATATCAGATAATATCGTCAATTTTTAAAGATCTTATAGTACACATTGTTGCAATGCATGCGCGATGGAGAAATATAAAAATGTGTAGAATTACCGTAAAGTGCCAAAATTGGAGAATAAAAATAAATTCCATCAAATCACATACATCCTCCGTCGTAAACCTATGAAGTCTTGTCCTACAGTATCATTCAATAATATTCTATTTATTTATGTAAATCCACTACCTAGGACTCCACTTGAATAGACGTCTTACTTGGGATCCGCAAATTAGACTGAAACTGCTCGACGTTTCCGACTGCTCCAAAACTTATAGAGAAACTCTCTAAACTTTCAATGAATTACAAAAGATTCATCTAGGTGACAATAAGAAGACCTATATAAAATCCTTAATGCTCAATATTTTGTCACAAATAAAACCATTCATAAAGTTGTTAATGTCCATATTTCGCTGAAATAGCCCAAGCTAGATATCTATCCTTTCATGATAAACTGCAGTCCCATCCGAATCCACTTGTTTGCAGCCTTGCTTCCACCTCGATTTCTAATAATCCTCCTAGGGTTCTGAAAAGAAGATGGCCTCCTGATCTTGCCTAGAATTATGTAGGCATCTCGGCAAGTCTATTCATGTCATTATTTCTAATTTGTTCATATTTACTGGTTGTATTTATTTGATACATTTGTAGAATAGTTTACTTTTATGAAAAATTTCTCTGATAATCCAAGAATAAATTGTAATATTAAAGGAATCTTAAGTAAGTAAAAGTCAATAGATACGTCGGTATAGTAATTATAGGGTTATTTATCACCATTATGATTATATTAGTAGGTTGTAATGGAGTTTAAATGCAACGCGTTATTCTACAAATAATTCATTACAATTTAAACATGTTAAAAATCTATTTTAACTGTGAATATAGCTTAAGAAATACTCTAAAAGTCTCATACATAAAAAGTTTGGCAGTGTAAATTAATCATTGCGATCTGATAAGGGGTTCAACTTTAACTATCGTTTATATTCCTTTGCTAATTACTAACAACAATTAAACTTGATTAGGATTTTGAGTAGTGGAATCTCAAGGAACCCTATTAAAGATCATCTCTAATGGTATCGTATTGGTTTAAGCGCTTTCGTAGCGCTTTTTACACATACCTTTTTGCGCCATCTAAATTTTTGAGAAAGGCACATTTTGACGGAGTTATGAATTTTCGGATTGAAAAGTTTCAAACAAGGAGAGAAAGGGAATATATGGAACAAACCTTAGCAAGTGCAATTGTATATGATTTACGGTACTTTGATTTCTAATATTTTTAAGAAGAGGAGAGCAATAAAAGATCTTTAGAAGGGGAGAGGTTTCAGGCGCCATCGACCTTAGGAGGATGGACACTCCTGCACAACCGCTTTTACCTTTTATATATTTATCATATTCAACTTGAGCACACTAATGCTAAAATGTTTTACAAATAAATAATACAAATATGCTTATATATAAGCAGTGAAATTACATCAATGTGATTCGATTCAACATGAAATAAAAAAGTTTCATTTTGGATAATTGTGTACCTCACGAAGAAATAATACCGTTAAATTTAACAACATAAAACCGTTAATTTTACTAAAACTCGTAATATGGTGTAGACCTGGGCAGAATTTATTTGAAAAATATTCCCAGAATAAATTCTTAAATAAACCTCGATAACTATTTCCGAATTAATTTATTTCATGAAATAACCTGACCATTATTTCCGAAATGATTATTTCAGGAATAATGTGAAATAATCATTCTGATCGACTTTCCAGATATAATCAATATCCGGGTCGACTGTTATGTTTTTGGGGGCGCTTATTATAAAAATAATGTCAAATTTGAGATTGCGGCTTCCCCCCACCCTCCTGCATCAACTTTTAGTAACTTTTCTGATATAATCGATATCAGGGTCGACTATTATGTTTTCGGGGTAGCTTAATATGAAAATACTGTCGATTTTGCGATTGAGCCCACCTCCTTCGACTTTTTGTATTTTTTCGGATTTAATCGATATTCAGGTCGACTGTTATGTTTTCGAGGGCACTTTTTATAAAAATAATGTCAGATCTGAGATTGCACCTTCCCATCCTCCCGCATCGGCTTTTTGTAACTTTTCGGATTTAATCGATATCAGGGTCGCCTATTATGTTTTCAGGGTAGCTTATTAAGAAAATATGGTAGAATCCAAAAGGTTATTAAAAGTCGATTGGGGGAAGGAGAGTGGAGGGAGCGGCGTAATCTTAAATACGACCATATTTTCATAATAAGCTACCCCGAAAACATAAGAGTCGACCCTGATATCGATTAAATCTGAAAATTTACAATAAGTCGATGCTGGAGAGTGAGGGGGGCGCAATCTCAAATTCGACACTATTTTCATAAAAAGGTAATCCGAAAACATGGTGTATATTGGTAAATTTTTTTATGTTATTTAAGAACAATGTTATTTCTGAAATACTTATTTCTTGATGTTTGCAATAATTTATTTATGAAATAAATAATTCTGAAATAATAGTTATGAAATAATTTATTTCAGAAATAACTCATTTCGAAATAATTTACTTTATTCCAAAGAAGTCATTATTCCATCGAGATTATTTCATTGACAGTTTGGAATATTATTTCAGAAATAACCATTATTCCGGAAATAATTCATTCGTGGAATAACCGTATGAATTATTTCAGAAATAAATAATTTAAAGAGTGTGGAGTATATTAGCAAAAACTATTGATATAATTTTTATAAACTATCTATTCCGTTCCTTCGGTGCATGACTCCATTTAAATTCCAAAGGGGTTTTAGAGTGTGATATGAGATAGAATTAGGGTTTGACCCTGAGAATTAATTTAGTAATTAGCGTGGAGAGCACAGAGATATGAGTTGTGTTATCATTGGTTTAAAATCATTTAATAAGGAAGTCGAATACACTGAGAGATCTCGAGTCTTCATCTAGTTTGTGAATAGTGGAATGAGCTGAGTACAGGGTGACGTGTATTGAAGTGATATGTTTCTATATCGAAATTGGCTATAATAAGGTACTGAAAAGTGAGGGATTATACTCGTAGTTTGGTGACTTAAGCCAATACTTAACTTATAACTTAATATCAGTTATACCAGTAGTTTGAGGAGTAGTGTAAGGAGGAGATATATTTTAAGTTGGAGAATTTGTATATTGAGGAGTAGTATGATGAAGGATAATGTAATGAATTAAGGTATAGTGTTATGATAGGTAGTGTACATGTTCGGGTTATGGGTCAAAATACAACTAACCGTTATAACTGATCCCTAGGTTCGAAATAGAATAAAGTTGGGTACTCTGTATTTGAAATAAACCCACTTTTATTTCACTACAAACTTTAAACAGAGATTTTAGCCCTTTGGACTTTTAGACTTTTTATAACCACAATAACAATTAATCACATATGCATATTTCAACAATATGTGAAATTATTAAATATTTATAAAATGAATATGACTTTTGATTCATTCCCTAACATCCTTTCACCTGAAGAGTTTTGACTCACTTGAATTGTTTCATACAATTCAATA